ATATATATATAAAAGCTAGAGTTTCACCAAAATCTAATGATAAAATCCATGTCTACATTAACTTCATTTTCATCTAATAAGCATTGGCATAACATTTCGCTAAGTGTTCTGAATTCTAAACATACCCAATTCTAAATTGCTTCCGTAGGACTAGAGGAACCTTGGCACAAAGAAAAAGTGGAGAAAAAAGGGAATTTCACTCGAAATAAATTTGTCAAACAGGAAATAGCATCTTGAATCTATAGGAATTCCCCTTCCCACTACAGCTCACATAAGAATATTAATCATAAAAACAAGACTCCGAAAAACAACTCAAGAACCAAAAAAGTAAACCACAAGGAATGTTAGATGTCAATATTCTGTCAAAGATAATTTTCAGAAGAGAGGGATAGTAATCATCTGCTGCCAAGAAAAATACTGAATAAGAATTCCAGAGGAACCACAGATGGTTTCAGAGTTATCCCTCTTATCAGGAAAGTTATTACTGGCATTGTGGAAAGAATTGTATTTTGGTGTCTTTGCCAAAAGACTTTTTCCCAGAAAGGAAGATGAATAACAGTAACAGTGTTTAATGAGTCCCTGCTATGTGTGAGGTGCTGGCTAGGTTGAGTAGGACATCACCCCAGACCCTGAGAAGCTCACAGTCCAGAGAGAAGATGGATGTTGAAACGGCAGTGTGGTAAGTGTTATAATAACTACACACGTGTATCAGGTACCATAGAAGTACAGAGAAGAGAGGGAATTCTGGGGCCTGGAATACGTTCGGAGCCTGAAGAAAGAGCATCTTTTCAGACAGGGAAGAGGGAAAAAGCTTGAGCAAAGACCAAGAGATAAGACCTTTTTTTAGTGCCAAAGTGGTGTTTGCTTAACCTTCTCTGCTCCGTGGCAACAGAAGATGGTGTGCTGACAGTTTTATTTATTGTAAAGAAAAAAATGGCATTGGAGAGAAATGTTTGCATTATTCATTGACTATCAAAATGCTAAAGTGGAGTATGGGTAACCTCTTCCGGGTTCCTGTTCCCATGTTCAAGGTCCTGTCAGACAGCTGTGGCCCACGCATGACCACTCTCATTTACACCTCCTGTGAGGTTTTTCTTTCCTTTTTTCCAGGCTTATTCTGTGTATGATGAAGAGATTGGCTATTGCCAGGGCCAGTCATTTCTCGCTGCTGTTCTGCTTCTCCATGTGAGTAAATAGGTCTCAGTTATGACGTAGACGTGGCCTGTCCGCACTCATACTAGCCTTAGACTTGAGCATGGTTTTATAATGGCTTTGGCCAGACTGCAGGGCATGAATTGTAACGCCTGTGTCTGGAAACCTTTTCCTAAAAGTACTTTAATGTCAACATGCAAGAGAAACATGGTGAGACTAAGAGACAGTGTTGAAAACTAGAGCAAGGGTAGACTTCCTTTTTATTACTGGAGTGATCGGATGGGCTTTAGTCTTGGCTGGACTCTTGGGGACGTTTTACCTTCTCTAGAGTAGCCACTGCCGTTAGTATTTGTTCTGGGATTTATGTATTGGGATGGGAGGGAGGTCAAGAAGTTGGCTTTCTTTAGGCCCTTTTACTCATTCATTCTTCATTCATTCATTCATTCAGCAAAGTTATCCTCCAATTTATTGATACTCTTTTAAATCCACAGCAGAATTGAAAAAAAAATAAGGTGAATACCCATATGCTCTTCAGTTGATTTTCCAATTAATATTTTTTCACACTGTTTTTTCCATCTCTCAGTACGGCTTTTCCTCTTTTTTATACACACATTTAATATCAGAAAATTCTTTTTTGGAAAGTCAGTAGCAAACTTCAAGATAACTTCACTCCTAAATACTTGAGCATGTATCACCTAAGGACATAAACATAATACTGCAAGAAATCACATCCAAGAAATTCCACCCTGAAGCCGTACTGTCTTACACCCAGTCCACATTTAGTTTTCCACAGTTGTTTACTCAGTAAAGTCCTTTATAGCTTTCTCCTAACCCAGATCAGTGGATTGGATTTGGTTGATTGACGCATTACGTTTCGTTATCACTTCTCTTTATTCTTTTACTCTCAACTATCCTCTTGCCTTTTCTGTGTATTTCATGCCATTGACATTTTGAAAAATTTTAGCAGATTATCCTGTAAAACATCCCACATTCTTGATTTGTCTGATTATTTCCTCATGACTCAGGTTAAAATGCTTGGCAAAAAGACCACACAGGTGATGTTAGCAGAGGGTTTTTGAGCACCTGTTAACGGTCTGTACTGTGCTAGAGATCAGGAGAGAATAATGTGGACATGGTCCCAACCCGTGTGGATACAGAGCTAGTGAAGCTGACCAACCACGTTTAAGGAAAAAGTCTGTATCATTATTAATTTCAGCAGTGCTATGACATAGTAAAAAACTTGATGCACGATTATAACAAGAGAGCCATATTTAGATTCCAGGTAACCTTTATGGTGAAGGTAACCTTTATGGTGAACCCTGAAAAATGAGAAGGGGTATCCATTTTCTTTTGTACTTTTCAGTATCCCTTAACTTTTTTTAAAACATTGTTATGAAAATAATAAAACTTAAAAAGTAAGAGAGTAGAGCATTCCCAGAAAAGGGAATGGCACAGTATATGGAAGCATTGAAATTGGGAAAACTTGGCATACGAGAGGAACCGAAAGAGAGACAGTGTGACTGGAGTATTGTGAGTGACGGAGAATAGGATGGAGCTGGAAAGATCAACAGGACCTGCTTAGGTGGGCCGTGGAGGCCAGGTCAGGAAGTCTGGATTTTGTTTCTCTAAGCAAGGGGAAGCTTTTAAGAGTTTTAAGCCATTTTGTGTTATAATACAAGTAAAATACGGAGTCGTAATATAAGTAAAACAAAAACCACTTTCTACTTGCTGTGAACCCAGTTTATTGGTATTGATTGGCCTGTTAAAAATATGATAAAGCTATGACATTAATAAAGAAGTCACGTTTTCCCTCCTCAGCTTTAGTGAAGTATAATTGACAAAAATTGTATGTGTGTGTATTTAGTGCATAACATGATAATTTGACATATGTATACTTTGTGAAATGATTATCACAGTCAAGCTGATTAACACATTCACCAACAGGTAAAGTTTTTAAATTTTGTTGTGTTGTTTCAACGAGACTTTGCATCTCAAAGTCTCACAAGCCTGTGTGGTTGGTCTTTGTTCTCAACCTCAGTTCGAGG